CGGGCATGCTCCGTCACAGTCCCCTCTCAGTCTTCTCTTTTCCAGACTAAACAAGCCCAGTTCCTTCAGCCTCCCTCATAGCTCATGGTTTCTAGACCTTTCATCATTTCTGTTCCTGTTCTCTGGACTTCCTCCAGTTTTCCCACATCCCTCCTGATATGTAGCATACAATACTCAACACAATAAAGTTGAGGCCTAATCAGTGCAGAGTAGAGTGGAAGAATTACTTCTCGTGTCTTAATTATAATTCTGTATGTCAGATTTGCCTGTGATAAAAGAATATAAGAACGGCCATATTGGGTCAGACCAAAGGTCCATCTAGCCCAGTGTCCTATCTGCTGACAGTGGCCAATGCCTGATGCCCTAGAGAGAATGAACAGAACAGGTATTTATCAAGTGATCCCTCTCCTGTCATCCATTTCCAGCCTCTGACAAAGAGCATTCCTACTCATCCTGACTAATAGCCATTGAGGGACGTAACCTCCATGGATTTATTTCTTTATTTAGTTCTTTTTTGAAACCTGTTAAAGTCTTGGTCTTCACAACGTCCTCTGGCAAGGAGTTCCACGAATTGACTGTACACTGCATGAAGAAAAACTTCATTTTGTTTGATTTTAAACCTGCTGCCTATTAATTTCATTTGGTGACCCCTAGTTCTTATGTTATAGGAACAAGTAAATAACTTTTCCTTATTCACTTTTTCCACACCAGTCATGATTTTATAGACCTCTGTGACATCCCCCTTTAGTCTCCTCTTTTCTCAGCTGAAAAGTTCCCGTATTTTTAATCTCTCTTCATATGAGACCCCTTCCAAGCATCTCATCATTTTTGTTGCCCTTTTCTGATCCTTTTCCAGTGCCAAGAGATCTTTTTGAGATGAGGCGACCACATCTGTATGCAGTATTCAAGATGTGGGTGTACCATGGATTTATACAGAAGTAATACGATATTCTCTGTCTTATTCTCTATCCCTTTTTTAATGATTCCTAACATTCTGTTTTCTTTTTTCACTGCCTCTGCACACTGAGTGGATGTTTTCAGAGAACTATCCACAACGACGCCAAGATATCTCTTCAGTAGTTACAGCTAAACTAGTCCCCATCATTTTGTATGTGTAGTTGGGATTATTTTTTACAAAGTGCATTACTCATTTTGTTGCCCAATCACTTAGTTTGGTGAAATCTTTTTGAAGCTCTTCATAGTCTGCTTTGGTCTTAACGATCTTACAGATTTTACCACCTTGCTGTTTACCCCTTTCTCTAGAACATTTATAAATAAGTTGAATAGGATTGGTCCCAGGACAGACCCTTGGGGGACCCCACTAGTTACCCCTCTCCATTCTGAAAATTTACCATTTATTCCTACCTTTGTTTCCTGTCTTGTAACCAGTTATCAATCCACAAAAGTACCTTCCCTCTTATCCCATGACAACTTATTTTACTTAAGAGCCTTTGGTGATTTCTGGAAATCTAAGTACACTATGGCCACTGGATTCCTCCTTGTCCTCATGTTTGTTGAGCCCTCAAAGAATTCTAGAAGATTAGCAAGGCATGATTTCCCTTTACAGAAACCATGTTGACATTCTCCCAATAAATTATGTTCATCTATGTTCCTGACAATTCTATTCTTTACTATAGTTTCAACTAATTTTCCCAGTACTGACATTAGACTTAATGGTTTATAATTTCCAGGGTCACCTCTAGAGCCCTTTTTAAATATTGTCGTCACATTAGCTATCCTCCAGTTGTTGGGTACAGAAGCTGATTTAAAGGACAGGTTACAAACCACAGTTAATAGTGCCACGATTTCCCATTTGAGTTCTTTCACAACTCTTGGGTGATGCCATCTGGTCCCGGTGACTTGTTACTGTCAAATTTATCAATTTGTTCCAAAACCTCCTCTAATGACACCTCAGTCTGGGACAGTTCCTCAGATTTGTCACCTAAAATGAATGGCTCAGGTTTGGGAATCTCCCTAACATCCTCAGCTATGAAGACTGAAGCGAAGAATTCATTTATTTTCACCGCAATGACTTTATCATCTCTGAGTGCTCCTTTAGCATCTCAATCATTCAGGGACCCCACTGGTTGTTTGGCCAGTTTTCTGCTTCTGTTGTACTTAAAAAACATTTTGCTATTGCTTTTTGAGTTTTTGGCTAGATGTTCTTCAGACTCCTTTTTGGTTTTTCTTATTATATTTTTACACTTCATTTGACAGAGTTTATGCTCCTTTCTATTTTCCTCACTAGGATTTAACTTTGACTTTTTAAACAATGCCTTTTTATCTCTCACTGCTACTTTTCTCAGCCACTCCCAGGGTGGGCGGGGACTAGAACACACCCACCCCACCTCCCAACCTTCATGGTGTCGGTCATGCTGCCTTCCAAATGACAGAGCCATTTTCACCCTTGGGGGAGCCTGTGTTGGCTGTCCTGCTGCTCCCCGTGTGGGGGGGGGCGGGGGGGAGGAGGTGGGATTCAAGCCCACCTCCCTGCCCTCCTCAGGCCAATGCCCTATCCCCTAGGCCACTGCAGAACCCACCCCACCTCCCTAATTTCATGCCGTCCCAGAATCATGTTTGGTTTTTTTGCAAGTGTCACAAGCTAAATAATCATATTTAGCTTGTGGTTCACGATGATCCCTAAAATCCCTTTCTGCAGCACTCCTTCCTAGACAGTCACTTCCCATTGTGCATTTGTGACACGGAGTGTTATTGCAGGAGCAAACAGATTTGAAATACCGAGCCATAGTCAATATTCTTACTTTTACTTACAAAGATGATATATGCACTAGGGATGTCATAGGATAACCCAATAAACGGTTAATTGATAAGCTTAGGCTTATCAGTTACAGTGAATGGTTATACACAGGCTCCTGCCCTGTTCCCGGGGAACTGGCTGCCAGCCTGGGCTGCAGGTGCATGTACATAGTTACTCAATTATCCACTTTTTAATGTCCTTATTATGCGCACAAGCAGGATAATTATGCTCAGCAAACCAAAATTTTCCATTGACATCTTACAGTGGTATATTTTGTACAAGATTTGTTACAATGTCTAGCAGTGGCAATATTAATGATATAAATGATCATGTTCCATTCATACAGCATCTCATGCAGCCAGTGTATGTGGTGCTAGTAGGGATGGCTAGTTGTCTGGTGTATGACAAGAGAGGGATTTGCAGCATTCAGGGAACTGAATCTAGATTACACAGTGTTATGGTACCATATTGGTCCCAAGATATTAGCGAGATGAGTGGGAGAGGTAATATTGGACTAATTTCTGGACCAAGCGAATAGCTTCAGAGTGGTGTTAGGAGACTAGTGATAAGGCAGAGACCTGGCATGGTCTTTGGTGGGTGGGAAGGGTTGAATTTGAGTGGGAATGGCAGTTATGAAACATGGCTGGAGATTCACTGACTTTCCTAACTCTGCTTGTCCCTACTGAGATCTTTGAGCAGGGTGATCAGTGTTCTGTGTGCTCTGCTGAAGAGCAGGTTTCAAACAGATGTTTCAGGCTTGCTGATTCTGGGCACTAGAACCCCTGACCTTCAACTGAGGACCGAACATGGAGTGTTTCTTTGGCTGTATAAACAAGGGACTGAGAGCTGCCTCTTTGTCTTTTCTCTTCTGCAGGGTCTAATGCATTCCAGTGGTCCAGTCGGCCGCCATCGCCAGCTGATACTAGTTCTAGAGGGAGAACTGTACCTTATCCCCTTTGCTCTCCTGAAAGGAAGCTCCTCGAATGAGTACCTCTATGAGCGCTTCAGCCTCATTGCAGTCCCATCCATCCAGTCGCTGAACCCCAACTCCAAGGTACAACTCCAACCCCATACCCCCATACTGCTCCAGTGAGGCATGCAATGCTGGGTCCCATCTGTGCCATGTGAGAGCTGAAGCTGCTCCATGCCACACAGGCTCACCCAGCAAGGACCCAGACTGAACTGCAGGGTTTGCTGCCTCTTTCAATGGCATCAGCTACCAAAATGGAAATCACAGACCCACTGCCTTCCAGATACTGGTGCTGAATGAGCTGAGCACCCTCAGTGTACTGTGATGCTCCCCAGAGCAGTCAGGCACAGTCCCTAGCCCCAGGGGAATCACAAAGCAAAGTGTGTCAAGGCAGTGGTTAGGGCTTCTTTCTTAACAAGCCTGCAGGTTCTGGGTGGGTGGAGCTCCCTGTTTCATGCAGATTGAGTGACCTCAGCTGAGTTTCCCCCAGTTAGTCACAGTCTAGCAATCTGCTCATGTGTACACCTGTCTGCCTGGGGCACTTGCTGCTGATGTCTCATGACATTCAGGGTGCAGGTTAAAGCTGATACCTTCAGCAGATCCTAGTGCCTTTTCATTGATATGAAGCCCAAACATCTAAGGGGAGTTCAAGGCCAACATCAGTTCTTGGTCTCATTGCTCAGAACAGAGCCCCATGGCTCACCCTGCATGATTGCCATGTGAAACACAAAATTATCTAACAGGGAGGGTGGGCCTGATTTTGTCATTGTTGTTGTCGTATGTGACTTGGAGTTTCCTGTTCCGGATTAGCCCCTGGGAGCCAGTCTCTCTCTGTCTCTGGCCAGGGCTTGATCTTGAGCTGCCACAGCACATCTGTTGGTCAGAGGCTTTCACTGACTTGCCTGCAGTGATACTCAGCTACAGTTAATTGATAACACATAGGGATCATTCAGAAGATTCCTTTCAGTGTCTATTACTTTGTGTTTGTCAGCACTGAACTTCATCAGCCATTACACTTACAGCCTCAGAGAATGTTAAGGCCAGGGTCTCAAACTTGCAGCCACAGGTCATCTATGGCCACAGCATTTTCACACTCTGGCCCAGCCATGCAGATATGTGTGCCTGTCACCATCCCGCAAGCCTCACCCCTACCTACCATCGCCCTGCACTCCCCCCACATCCCCTCCCCAGGGCCATGGCCTTGCAGATTAATGTGGGGGGGAGGCTGGCACTGAATGGAATAGGGATCAGGGCCCCCTGCCCTCCCCGTGGCAGCCCTAATCCCTGCTGCCGCCGTGTGCCAGGCTCCCCCAGTAATTCCCAAGGCTACATCCCTCGGGCCAAAACTCACGGGTCAGATTGCAAAAATGCTTTGGTTGCAGATGGCCCATCAGCTGCGAGTTTGAGACCCCTGATTTAAGGCCAGGAGGGATCATTAAATTATCTAGTCTAATTGCCTGTACATCACAGAACATTACATTTCACCCAGTTACACCTGTATTGAACTCAAGAATTTAAATTTGACCAATGCATGTCTTCAGAAAGGCATCCAGTCTTAATCTGAAGACATTCAGAGATAAAAAGTTCACCACTTCCTTGGTAATTTGTTTCAATGTTTAATCACCTTCAGGGTTAAAAAGAATTATGCTTAATTTCTAATTTGTCTGGCTTCACCTTTCAGCTATTATTCTTGTTCTGTCTTTCTCTACTATATTAAGATCCCTTCAGTACCTGGTATTTTCTGCCCATGAAGATTCTTACACACTGTAATTACATGCATTTGAGTATTGCCACAACATAACAGTTTCCCAGTGTTCTGCAATTTCCTCCATGTTTCAAGATTTGTTAAAGGTTTTTATCATCAGGCCAGAGATTTCCTTGACCAATTCTTGTTGGACTTTTGGGAGCTGGTTATCTGGCCCTTCTGAATTAAAAGTGTTTATCCCTAAGAGATGTTTAACATCTTCCTTTGTTACTAATGGGATGGAAAATCCTTCATCCTTCTGTGATATATCATCCCGATCCTTTCTAAAACAGAACAGAAATATTTACTGAACTCTGCTCAATTGCCTAATTTGGTTAGGTCCCTCTGAAGCTCCTCACAGTCTTCTCTAATCTACATAATCATGTGTCATTTGCACCTGTTACCAGCTGAGGAGAGATTTTTATTTTATCCTTCCTAAAGCACTTTTCATCCTGATCATCCCAAAGGGATTTACAAACAGGAATTGCTTCATTCATCCTTCACAGTACTGATTGTTGCAGAAATAGTTCCCAATAGTGTCCTTAAATTTCATAACCTGACAAATGCAAACAAAGCCAACAGGAAAAAACAATGTTGACTAGGATAAAAAACTTCCTAACTGTAAAAACATTTAGTCAAGGATTCTTCTTCCAGTTGTGTCCCTTTGCATGCTCCACATGGAGATTTTCATCAGCAGTGTCCATAGGTCTGCACCTCTGCCCTGGACACCCTTCTGCCCTGATATGAGAGCAGACGGGGGACAGACCTGCTGCCTCTCCAGTTCCTGCTAAGCCGGAGCATTGGACTGTCCCTGAGCTAAGCCAGTAGCTCAGGTACCCCTGCCAATAATTGTTTCTGTTAAATAGTACAGTTTGTGTTGTGGGGAGTCCTCCTTAACTTTTTTTGCCCAATTTGTTCCTTTATAGTATTTCTCAAGTCTCAACCCAAGGTCTGAAGTTTAGTTTATGCCCAACACTTCAGGCTACAACCCTGCAGGTCTTCCTGCTGCAACAACAAACATTCAAGCTGCACCCACTGCCATGCGGAGTCCCACATCTTCTGATCTGCTCTGGAATTAAGATGCTTAGGAAGGGTAGATTAAAACCCTTGTTAATGGAGCATCCACTGAGACCTGCACAGTTCAGATCATCTCCCAATATGTCGGCCCCACCCACCCTTTCTTCTAGCAAAGAGCCTGAATGTGCTGCAGAACCACCCAACCCTTCAAAGAAGACAAGGCCCAATTCTGCAGAGCAGAATAAGAGAAGGGGAAAGCTCTCCACCCCGCCCTGTCTGTGTCCCAGGAGACCTCCCATCCCGCTCCCATCCCCTCCATGCTGATTCCACAGCACGGGGAAGGAAGTTGCATCTTGAGAACCAGTCTAATGTGCCATAAAAGTGTCCTTCTAAAGTGCTGGACCCAGTGCCTTCTAAACATATGAACTCTCAAGTCAAGCCACAACCCGATCATGCGTCGGTACCGTATCCGCCTGACATGCCCCAGAGGATCCTTATCTAGGGTGCTGGTCCTCCAGGCTCCTGTTCCACCAGCGTCTGCACCCTGGAAGAGCATGAATCACTACTGACCAGAGGTGAGAGATGCTCTCCACAGGTGCCAACTCATTGTACAGAACCTCCTTACCCTCTGCCTATGCCAGGGCCCCTGCACAGACTCTGTGAAGATTTTGATACCAGCATGCCTCCCCCTAGTCCTGCCTCATGAACCAGCCTGCTATGGGACATGAACTGATAAAGGTACCAGCCCTTCCCCGGGACTCAGCACTAACCTGATCTCTTGTACTGACACCATGTGCTGTTCTGATGGACTTGCAGAGCAACATCTCATCTGACTCTGAGGTGTCTATCGCAAGGTCCTCTCTTTACTCCCTGGAGATCCTGCTTGAGGAAACTCCCAGCAGGCGATTTATCCAGAGACTCTTGTATGGACAACCTTGGGGCCTTTCCCATAGGCCCCACCTTTACGGACATGTTGAAACCTGAGGCCCCCTACAGCGACTAGTTCTACTGAGTCCCATCCTGTAAGAGAGCGTGTCAGGAGCAGCAGCCAGCTCCCTTGGGTCTTGTCCCTCTGGTGCACCTCTCAGAGTAGAAGGACTCAGCTGAGGCAGAAGAAAACCTCCCTCCTACAAATCTTCCTCCTCACCAAAGGGAGGGGAAAATGACGCCTCCTTCACTCTCTTACCCGGATGACTGTGAAGCTTTTCCAGACCTGATGAAATGTGTGGAGACAGTTTACAAATTCTGTCAGAGGAGGTATAGGAATGGCAGCGCTCCCTCTTAGACATTCGTCATACCTCTGCCCCAGCCAGCATTGCCTTTTCCTTCAGTGACACTGTTAGCGCTGGCATGTCTGATGTGGCAGACTCCAGCGATCTGCCTGCCTGCCTGCAAATGGGACTGACACAAAATGCTGTGTTCCACCCAGAGGCTCAGAATGTTTTTTCTCACAGGCTACACACAACGATCTGCTCGTTGAGGTTGCAAACTAGAGGAACAGACAATACAGATTCCTTTCAATGCTGTATGACAAAGAGCTGAAGCAACTGGAGCATTTTGATCACAAGAGCTTACTTCTTAGCTTCTTTGCAATTCGGTGCAATCAAATAGCAAGTGGTAAAGTGTCTTCACAAATGTGTTCTCAGCCTTTACTGAACACTTGCCTCAAGATCAGAGAGAACAGTTTCACCAGAGCTGCATGCCCGTGGCTATGGCGGAAGTCATACACTGAGCTTCCTAGGTGCAATTCTCTGGCTTCTCCCATGAGGTACAAAATACTGTCAAAGACATTGCTTTTGTGGAACACAAGTTGTTTAGTGGCACCACAGATGATCTCTCAGTTCTCTCAAAAGATCCTCAGGCAACACTGTGATCTCAGCATTTATAGCCCTGGGACATAAACAAAACAACAGCAGGTCTCAGATGACTCTGGGATTCCATCCAGTCACTACCCACCCATGCAATTGACTGGAACCCTTAAGAAGGAGCCTGGATTCCATAAGAAAGGGCCCTTCTTTACAGCAACCTCCCAACCAGCCGTGCCCTCAAAAGGTCAACTTTGACACAGTGGTCTAGGGTCACAAATTACTTTCCACTTCAGATTCTGCGCTGCACCTCCCCACCCTACGCACGTATGGAGATTGTCTTTCCTATTTTCTACCTTCCGAGGAGCTCATCACTTCAGACAGATGAAGCCTGGAGGTGATTTCCACAGATTTTTCCGTTCTGGTCAGCCCATTTCCTTCATGCTCCGCCCTGTCCTTCTTCAGGCACCTGTCTCACAAGAATCTCTTGAGACGGGAGACACGATCCCTCCTAATCATGGGGCGATCAAACTCATTCCATTGGACTTCACCTGAAAAGGCTTCCGGTATTTCCTGACTCTTAAGAGCAGTGAGGGGTGGGGATCAATTCAGGACCTCAGGACTTTGAATACTTTGTCCAGGATCATCGCTTCAGAATTGTAACCACAGCAGCAATTCGTTCTCTCTATCTGGGAGTCTGGGTCACTTCCTCCAGCCGTCGGGACATTTATTTTTATTTTACTATGCACTCCTCACACAGACAAGTCCTACATTTCATGGCAGGGAGGGATCACTACCAGTATCATGTCCCACCCTCCAGCCATTCCACCACCCTAAGAATCTTTGCCAAGGTCCTGTCGGTCACCACAACCCTTCTTTGCCAGATGAGAATAACCATCTTCCCCTGCCTGGATGACTGGCTCATGAAAGGTCATTCATTTCCAGATGCTTAGATTGCAATCTGTCATGCCCTGTTTCTTTTCCACTCTCTCAACCTCCACCTCCATGCAGAATAATCTACCCCTCTAGCCACTCGTTGCAGAAACTTCATTGGGGCTACTCTGGATTCCTCTGCTGCCAGGGTGTACCTGCCCAGACACAGATTTATCACAATGTCCAGCCCTGTTTCAGAGCCCCCAAATTGCAGTGTGGTCCTGCCTACAACTTCTGGCTCATATGGCAGCCTGAATCTTTGTAACACCCTTGGCAAGATTACAGTCTTAATATATTGAGGCCTATCTGAGAACAGTCTATCCCCTCGACAAGCACAGTCAATGCAAAGAAGTGTCAGTTCCTCAGAGAGTGCTTGACTGTTTCAGTTGGTGGAAAGAGCCACAAAAGGATTTCTGCTCCTGCAGACCTCATTACTGAAGGTACCTCTCAGATAGACTGAGATGCACATCCCAAGAGTCTTGCAGCCCAGGGACAATGGACCCCCCAGGAGACTATCCTCCAAATCAGGTGTGGCCAACCTGAGCCTGAGAAGGAGCCACAGTTTACCAATGTACATAGCCAAAGAGCTACAGTAATTTGTCTGTAGTCCCAATCAGGTGCCTCCTCTCCTGTCTCCAGCATTTTTTGTCCACCAGCAGCCCCACCAATCAGCGCCTCCTCTTCCTTCTGCGCGCTTCCTGCCCACTGCAGTCAGCTATTTCATGGCACTCAGGAGGCTCTGTGGAGAAGGGAAGGTGCAAGGGTGCAATACGCCTGGGGAAGGAGATGGAGCCAGGAGTTGAGCACTGGAAAGTTGGCACCTGGAGCTATAGCCCCAGAGTCGGTGCCTGAGCAAGGAGCCATATATTAACTTCAGAAGAGCCATAGGTGGCACCAGAGCCACAGGTTGGCCACCTCTGCTCCAGAGCAACTGACTGCGCAGCGCATTGGTATGCTTGCCTCCAGGGCTGTGACATGATCTTAAAAAATGCAGTTAATTGCAATTTTCATCACATTGTTGAAGAATAATATTTTGGGTGTTTTTCTGCATTTTCAATTACAACACAGACTACAAAGCATACAGTGCTCACTTTATTACAAATATTTGCACGGTAAAAAAAATAAAAGAAATGTATTGTTCAATTACATCATACAAGTACTGAGTGTAATCTCTTCACTGGGAAAGGGCAACTGACAAATTGCACTTACAATTTTATTTTTGTACATAACTTCACTCAGAAACAAAACAATATAAAACTATAGTGCATGCAAACAATGAAGGGGCATACAAATGTTTAGCATATCTAGTATGTAAAAACCTTGCAATGCCGGCTACAACAGTGCCATGCACATATCTAGTCTCACTTCAGGTGACATTGCAAATAAGATATGGGCAGTATTATCATCCACAAATGTACATAAATTTGTCTTAGTGATTGGCTTACTGAAAAGTAGGACTGAGTGGACTTGTATGAGATGAACTGAAAAATATTATTTGTTTTGTCTGTCTTTTTTACATTACAAATCTTTGTAATAAAAATAATATAAAGTAAGAATTGTACACAATCTATTCTGTTATAATTGAAACCAATATATCTGAAAATATCATCCAAAATATTTATAATAAACTTAAATTGGTATTCTGTTATTGTTTAACAATACAGTTAAAACTGTGATTAATCATGACTGTTTTTTAATCTAGTTAATTTGTATTTGGTTAATCACTTGCATTAACTTTGATTGACACTATTTGCAACACTTCCTGCCCTACATTAGGGGCTACATGATTAGAATAATGGTAGACAACAGAGCAGCAAAATATTTTATCCATCACTGAGGAGCAAGTCATTCCTTGACCTTATATCTTGGTTTATATTTATCCTCCAAGTCCCTTTACTGCTCAAGATCTGGAACATATTGAAACAAGAAAAATCAGTAGCCATCCTCAGAGGAGTGTTGTGGCCAAGGCAGGTGTGGTCCCAGAGCTGGTCTGCTCTTATCTGTGACTACCTCTCCACCTTCCTGACAGTGAATTTCCTGACCCAGGAGTTGGGATTGATTACTTAACAAATCTTCTAGCACAGGGGTGGAGAACCTAAGGGCCAAGGGACAGATGCAGCCCCCGGCTTGCCTGGATCTGGCCCCTGAGGCTCAGGGCTTCCCACTCATCAGTGGGGAGCCCACGCTGGCTCTCCAGCACTCCCACTGCCCCACTGCAGTGCTGGAGCACACAAAATCTACTAGATTGGACTTTCCTAAGCTCTGATATATGAGGGGAATGTAGGGAATGTCTTTCTCAATGGGGGACCACATCAGTGAGGGGTTTTTGGTTTTGGGGGGTTTTTTTTCTTCTCACGTGAGTGTGGCTCCTGACTTATTTTTTCTGTGGGTCAGTGGCCGCCAAACCAAAAAGGTTCCCCACCTGTGTTCTAGCCTTTCATCTTAAAATGTAGCTACTAAATGGCTACGTGGTGTAGAACACGACTGCTCCCTGAAGGTACAAACAATACTTCAACATATCAGAAAACCTACACTAAAGAAAATTTACCTGCAGAAGTGGAAATGCTTCCAGATTTGGTGCAATTTCTGATCTGAACCTTCTCTTGGGTCCAGTCTCAATAACCTTCTCAATTTAAAAACTAGAATGATCATTGAGTTCCATCAGTGTTCACCAAGGGTTTTTGGTTTTCAGTTTTCACTTGCCCAATCACAGCAAGGTTCATGAAAGTATTCTTCAGCGTCTTCCCTCCTATCAAATAAGCAATTCCATCAGCCCTCAACTTGGTCTTCAGTGCCTTGAGGCAACCCCCATTTGAACTTGTGTTGAATTGTTCCCTCCATCATCTGTCCCTTAAGACTGTGTTCCTCTTAGCCATTACCACACACAGTATACCCACCAGTGTTTCATCATGACACAGTGTTGACACGTCCACTCCTTGCTTCCCCCTACAAGTGTCATTGCTCATTTCACCAGGATTCAATTTGCCACAGCAGCCCTGTTGATACCTATCCAGACATCTGCAGGGCAGCCACCTGCTTCTGGGCACGTTCTCCCAACAGTGCACTCTTATCAGCTCTGGATGCAGTCACATGGCTTTCGGCAGGGCTCTTCTGCGATCTGAACTGAATCCACCTCCTTGGCCCCTTCCTCATGAGGAAAGTAACTTTCAGAAGTCTCCTGCCCTGGAGCACCCCCAGGGATGTTACTCAAAGATGGTTACTTACCTTGTACAGCAGTAGGAGTTCTTCGACATGGGTGCTCTCTCTCTTGGAGTCTGACTCTTTCCGCTTTCATGCTTGAGAAGGATTAGGAGTGGTGGCAAGTCCACCTCTCCCTAGCTCCCTGCAGATCGGGGCACAAGGTGTCTAGAGCAGACGTTGACCCAGGGACACTGCTATGGGAATCTCCAGTCAGGAGTGCACGGACATGCACATGGACCACTCAAATGGACACAGATCTGTAAGAACTCCAGTTACTGTACGAGGTAAGTGACCTTTTCATGCTGTGCAATCCCTATTTCCAGAGCACACCAAAACCAGACCAGAGAATTAACTACCGGGATGCTGCACAGAGCGACTGGTCTGAGGAGGAAACATGGGCTTGTGGTTGCAGCAGGAGTCTGGGAATAGAGATTTAGTTAATATTACTGGCTTTGCCACAAACCTCCAGAGTGATCTTGGATAAGTCACTTTCCTTCTCTGTGGATCCATTTCCTCTCTCCAAAGAAGGAAATAGTAATGCTACCCCCCACCACATGGAGCTGGTATGTAAAGGAGTACAGCTTGGATGGAAGGTGCTAAAGCAATGCAAAGCATTGTTGTAATGATAAAAACCCCTCCCTATGACAGAGCCCAGGCCGCTCCATACCCTCCTGCAGGGAGGCAGCATGTTTGCAGGGCCATGGCTTCAACCGAGAGTTCTTTGACCCTGGTTTTCTCTCTCTCTTTCTAGTCCCTTTTGAGGAAGAATGCTCCTGCTAACTCCAGTTCTACTTCAATGGCAGCTGTCATAGGAAATCCCAAACTCCCTGCTGCAGTAATGGACAGATGGCTTTGGGGACCTATGCCCTCTGCAGAAGAAGAGGTCTATATGGTTTCTGAATTACTTGGCTGCCAACCTCTGGTTGGCAATGTGGCAACAAAAGAGAGAGTCATGAGCGCACTAACTCAGGCAGAGTGTGTCCATTTTGCAACCCATGTGTCCTGGAAGCTGGCGGCATTGGTCCTAACGCCCAATGCTGATAGCACCCCAGCCAGTAGCAAGAGCTCCTTCGGGAATCCCTACACAATTCCAGAATCCCTCCGGATGCAGGATGATGCCAGTGACGTGGAGAGTATCTCAGATTGCCCTCCTCTCCAGGAGTTCCTGCTCACAGCAGCTGACATTCTGGATCTGCGGCTTCCTGTCAAATTAGTAGTTCTTGGCTCCTACCAAGAGTCCAGCAACAAAGTCACTGCTGATGGGGTTGTTGGCTTGACTCGGGCATTCCTAGCTGCTGGGGCTCAGTGTGTCCTGGTGTCACTCTGGCCTGTTCCTGTGGCTGCTTCCAAAATGTTTGTGCATGCCTTCTACGCCTCCCTCCTGAACGGAATGAAAGCCAGCGCAGCCCTGGGCGAGGCCATGAAAACCGTGCAGAGCAGCAAGCAGTTCTCCCATCCATCCAACTTGTTGGCTTGACTCGGGCATTCCTAGCTGCTGGGGCTCAGTGTGTCCTGGTGTCACTCTGGCCTGTTCCTGTGGCTGCTTCCAAAATGTTTGTGCATGCCTTCTACGCCTCCCTCCTGAACGGAATGAAAGCCAGCGCAGCCCTGGGCGAGGCCATGAAAACCGTGCAGAGCAGCAAGCAGTTCTCCCATCCATCCAACTGGATTTTGTGTTGAGCAAGGAGCTGTGATAGCAGCAGGGTGCACAAGTAACACTGTGCGCCCTTGCAGCAGCCAGGAGCTGTGTATCGGGCCGGATTCTGCTCTACTGAGTGTTGCTGAATGACTGGCCAGTGGGACGCTCATTCTTCAGTGTACACCATGGGGACAGCATGTGTTTGACATAATTTCCATGGCATGAAGTGCACCTGTCTCATCAGGCAGGTTTAATCATTAGGAAGATCTGATATGCTAAGGGCCATGCAGGCAGGAAATTACCCAGGATCCCCAACTGACACGAGATAAGATTCCTTTTCTCCCTACAGATTACAGCCTCAGAGGCATTGTTCTTATTGATCCGTGTCTAGCACAGTACTGCAGAAAGATTTGATTTCCACTAGTAGATGGGTGGTGAGGAGGGTGTTTCTTGAATGGAACCGCAACAACGGTGCTGTGATCCACTGACAAGGATGTGTGTGTTTAATTCAACATTCTAAAATTAAATGTGCTAAATAGTTCAGCGATGTGACATAAGGAACTGGGACTATTCCCCGTGTGCTGTACCTTGGCTAGAGCCTGTGAGGATTGGAGCCTCCCTAAGAACATCCCAGAATTCCAGAGAGCTGACGCTTTCCCAGAGTTTGTAGGAACACTGGCACTATTCCTATGGCAGCAGCATTTTCCTCTAAAACTGAAGTCTCGTTCAGTTCGTGTCTTCTGCACACCTGGGTTAGATCATTGTGTGTGGGAGGGGTAACCCTAGCCATGCTGAGGAGGAAAGTGAAATGTGCGGCGCCAGCAACAGCAGAGGTGTAATCACCAGGAGACGTGACAAGACTTGTCCCTGTGCCCCTCTCACAGGTGAGGTGGCTGCTGACGTGTGTGGGAGTCCACAAGCAGAACAGTGGAAGGATCAATCCCCGCTGCCCCAGTGCCAGTCAGGAATGGTTTGATGTATCAAAGGAAATTCAGAAAGAGAAAGGCACGGAGGCTAGCAACGTACCAACTGGAATTAAATATACAGCATATTTTTCTCAGCAAAAATCCTCCTTCCTGAGAGCGGGGCCTGTGTCCCAAGCATGTCCCTGATGTGCCCACCTGGGCTGGAGATCAGGTACCTGCTGCGTGCAGAACCCTAGTGCCAGGAAACTGTTACCAGGACAGGGAGCTTGTTGCTGCTGGCTAGCCTGAGCACCTGGGATTAAACCCACGCGGAACTGTCTTGTCTCACTGAGTCCAGTGTTAGCAGCTGATGCATGGAAAACCAGGGGGAAGTTGGGCGTAGGGTTGACACCAAAATTCAGTTTCCTGTTTTTTCCTTCTAAGGGAGTGTGGCAGCCTGGCAGGAAAGAGGAGAAATGGAATGGCTTTGCAGAGCAGATCCCCTTGCCAGAAGTGTAGTAGAAATGACACCAGACATGGCACTCAGTGCCACTACCAGCAGGAGGCAGGCAGGGAATGGCACACAGGGACAGTTGCTCACAGGCTCCTCCCCTGAATCCATATGCAAAGCCTCCACCCTCATGCTTCCCTTGAGAGTACTGATATTTCAAACAGAAATAATACTTCACAGTATAGGTAAGCACATGCCTGTGCAGCTGTAATGAATAGGGGAAGAGGAAGAGTTCCTTATACTGCCATGGGGGAGTCAGATATTTGCATGGCACACAAGCCAGCAGCCTGGGCAAAGCAGATGTCTTTTCCCAGACAGGGGCAGCTATTTACCTGTTCCCATAACCTAAGAACTACAGGTCACCAAATGAAATTAATAGGTGACAGGTTTAAAACAAATAAAAGGAAGTTTTTCATTATGCAGCACACAATCTGCCTGTGGAACTCCTTGCCAGAGGATGTTGTGAAGGCCTGGACTTTAACAGGGTTCAAAAAAGAACTGGATACATTCACGGAGATTAAGTTCATCAATGGCGATTAGCCAGGATGGACAGGGATGATGTCCCTAGCCTCTGTTTGCCAGACGCTGGGAATGGGTGGCAGGGGAGGGGTCATTTGATGATTCCCTGTTGTGTTCACTCCCTCTGGGGCACCTGGCATTGGCTACTGTGGGCAGACAGGACACTGAGCTAGATGGACCTTTGGTCTGACCCAGTCTGGCAGTTCTTATGTTCTCTCCATTTTCAGGGTCCTGTTGTTTGCTGGCAGTGTTTAGCTCTTATTGATTTCAGCTCCTGCAAAAGAGATGAAGAACATGGTAGGACAAGTCTCTCTGAATTGCAACATTTTTCCACATGTGTAAACAGGAGAACAGTATTGATTTCATACAGGGGGAGAGCACTCTAGAGGCACCCTAGAAGTCAGGTCCCTGGGATTGAGCGGCATGGAGGCTGCTGCTAGGCATATAACTTAGCAAGAGGCAATGAGAAATTCATTCCTGTTAGCTTGAGGGAAGCAGAGAATTAGTTTTACTGGAGCAAGAGGAGACTAAGAAGTTCTTCCTTTGAATCCTGCAGGCTTCATGCTTATAGGGAGTGATGTGAAGCTTAACAGCCCTTCCTCGCTAATTGGACAGGCCCTGACAGAGATTCTGCAGCATCCGGATAGAGCACGAGATGCCCTGCGAGTCTTATTACACCTGGTAAGCAAGAGAGGGCTGCCCTAAGAGTATCCCTTACACTCAGAGAAGCAGCGAGAAGATCCTCACAGTCTTGCTTTGAAAGCTACAGCAGACCCAGCTGGTTTTTGTGTGTCTGTGCTTTAAAAATGCGATTGTCACCAAGGTTAATTGTTTCTAAGGCAATGCTGTGAACTAGATAAGACAGTTCCATTGAAATGTATGGACACAAAACGTGAGTCCTTGCCTTGGAGCATGGCAGGCACCTTCTCTTAACTTCTGAAAGGTGATATTGTCTATCGTGAGGTGAATGTTGATTGGGTGGGGAAACATTTCAATTTAATGTCAGGAGTCTAAACTCCTAACCCTCCTTCTCTTCCCTCAGTATGTGTCATCCCTGCAGTTATTCCCTGTCTCTGGGAAAAGAATGGGATGCCAGGCAGAGATTCACCTTGCTTTCATGATGAATAAAATTGCCCCATCAGAGCTAGCTTGTTTGTGCTAGGGATGTTAGCGTATAGTTGTCTAAACGATTAAGCAGTAAGGCTGGGCTTATTTTTTTAAACCAGCTCCCCTCACGGACCGGCTGCCGCCTACTGCCCCAAGTTGCTGCTTCTACTGTATCAGAGGTAGCAGCACAAGGTGGCAGGGGGCTCCCTAGGAGCGGAGCCAGGAGCATACTGGCTGCTGGCTCTGTCCCCAGGGTCCATCAAATAATTGTGTAACTGCTAAGATTTGATGCAGTTGCACAATTATTCAGTTGAACAACATCTAACTTCCCTAGATTTTGTGTGGGTCTGTGCTTTGAAAATGCAATTGTCACTAAGGTTAATTGTTTCTATGACAGAAGTGCTGTGAGCCAGGCAAGAATTAGGGAGGTGAGAATGAAGACACTGTACAGTCTGTCTCCCTGGCTGCTATTCAGGTGACTACCCTCTCTGTACAGTCCATAAGGACTGATGGCTTCGAGCCAAGAATGAACACTGCAGTTTAGAACAGAGCAAGGTTTGTTAGACAGAAGAACTGACTCTTGGGGTCCTTCCCTTCTTGCCAACTAGTGCTGTGTGATGCTGGACATTCTGTTTGGTTGACAGCCTTCACCAGAAAATGCCACACTGAAATCCACCAGATTTATCTCAAGTATCAGAGGGGTAGCCGTGTTAGTCTGGATCTGCAAAAGTGACAAGGAGTCCTGTAGCATGTATCTGACAAAGTGGGTCTTTGCCCACGAAAGCTTATGCTCCAATCCATCTGTTAGTCTGTAAGGTGCTACAGGACTCCTTGTCGCTTTTGCAGGTTTATCTCAGCGATTCTGGTTGGGAGAAATACAGCCACCTGGCTCTCAGGAAATCGTCCCTGGAGGATAGGCTGGAAAATGGGCTCACAGCTGCACTGCCACTGGCCCCACTGCATCTGTCATCCCTGGCTGGGCTACTGGCCTTGGCACTGTTACCTGGCAGGGCTGCCAGCACCAGCGGGACTCCTGGCCCTGGCCAGGCTGCCACTGGCTTCACTGGGACTGTCATCCGTGCCCAGCCGGAGTACTGGCCCCAGCGCCATCAACCCAGAAGGGCTTCCAGCCACAAGCCCTCCTGTGCCCTACTCTCAGCTACTAGGGCCCTCTGGCCCAGGAACATCCATAGTCCTGTTGGACCACAGATGTTGCCAGACCAGAGAGTCCTAGTTTTTAAATTCCTCGTGTCTGACGCTGATTGCCGAATAGTCTGTCACTCAGCCTACTCCATGACCTCAGTTGTCTTCCTGCTCCAGACACTGCACAAAGAGGAAAAGGGTACTGACAGACTTCATGCAGAATAAGCTAATGCAGTCTTTTGCTTTGGAGGTGGAGAAGTCACTGCAGCGAATCCAGAATGGGCAGCACAATTCCATGTACACCTCTCAGCAGAGTGTGGAGAATAAAGTTGGCGGTATTCCAGGCTGGCAAGCGCTACTCACTGCTGTGGGGTTTCGACTTGACCCTCCCGCTAGTGGTCTTCCAGCTGCAGTGTTCTTCCCAACCGCCGACCCCCCCCAGTCCCTTCTTGGTAAGGAGCAGGCTACAGAGGCTCTGGCATTGTCTGCCTTAGCAAATTCTCATCCATCTGCTGTCTCTTGGAAGGGAGGAGTGGGAAATCTTGCAGCTCTTTGGGTGTTCTGTGTTTTTACAGTGACTAAGTAACATGGAATGCGACTTGAGGGTAAGACTAGCACAGCCCTAGAGCAAGAATTGCAGTGAGAATATGGCTGTTTCAGCCACAGATCCCATTCGTTTCCCATTGATCCCAGTACAGTAAAACTCCATTGATCCGGCACTCCTGATGGTCCGGCACCATCAGGAACCCGGAAGTGCTCCAGGCAGCCGGACCATTGGAGGTGCTCTGCCATGGTCCCGTAGCACCACCCCTTGGCGCTGTGGGACCAACCTGGCAGCACCCCAGCTGCTCTGCCCCAGGTGTCCCCAAGAGCAACTGAGGTGCTGCCGGGTTGATCTCGCAGTGCCAAGGGGCAGTGCTACCGGACCAATCCAGCAGCAATCCAGATGCTCTGCCGCAGGCGTCCCGATTCAGCTGCTGCTGAAACTGACTAGCAGCGGCTGAATCGGGGACGCCTGGGGTAGAACCGGACTATCAGAAGGGGGGGCTATGAGAGGTCTGGGGTGGCATCCGCCCCACTCCACCCTAGACCCCTCATAGCCCCCCGTTCCGATAGTCCAGCATATCTGATCATCTGGCACCCCCTGGGTCCTAAAGGTGCCGGATTATCAGAAGTTTACTGTACCTCAGAACCCAGGTGTTATTGTTCCTCTATCTCTGCTCCTAGAGGGGAATTAGCTCATTAGGCATAAAGCTTGTGAAATCCTTATAGGCCCTCTCAGGAGCCCTCGTTAGCTTGGAAAGCTGGGCCCAGTGTCTCTTTGGGATGTTTCTCTCTATAAGTTGAGTGGCGTGTTTGAACAGACTTTACGGTTTCTGGCATTTTTCAGGTTTGCCTAACCCAGCACTTCAGGCACTTTGCAAACTTATCACTGCTTCAGAGACGGGAGAACAGCTTATTAACCGGGTGAGTAGGGTGGTGACACCATGCTTCAAATCCTTGTTCCTGGGACAAAGGAGTCTAGAACTTGAATTGCTTTGTATCAGACAGGGGGCTTTTGTGCCCGAAGCTCAAAAGCTGATTCTGTTGTCTGCTTGTGTGAGTGAGTAACTGCATGGCAAATGGGGGCAGGTACATTGCTAGACATCACGGCTCAGCGACAGAACAGAGTGTGAGATGTGCACCCAGCCGTGCTGTATGGTACAGCTGAGGAAGAAGGAATCGTAGCACTGTGGGATGGAAACACTTGGTTAGGTCTAAATCAGCCAATTACCATAAGAGTGTGTACTGAGCTGTTCCCTTCAGGGCACTCCCTAATGCTTAGTGTGGTGTAGTTTCTCAAGCCTTTGCTGTTACTTGTTGACAACTCGCAGCTCTGCAGACACGTTTCCAGGCTCAATAACATCCGCTGTCATGTGGGAACACAGTGCGACCTGTGGCTCCGTGACTTTTGCTAGCCCAGCCTGCCTTACTCTGCCATCCTGACCCAGCTCTCTGTTGTGCGCCCTGCGTGGCTGGCATGCTTCAGCACATTCCTCCCTCTCTGGAGTGCATTTCAGACTGGGCCTTTTGTCTGCCCCCAGAGGGAGGCGGGTGTAGGATAAATTGGGAACAGGCATGTGGCTCGCTGTCTCCTGCCTTGCACAGATACTTACCTGACCACCAGTGTCAGTTTTTCTGGAGAAATACATCAGTGGGCAGCTGGGACCCAGGCCCTCCCTGCCCTACATTCCCCCTGTAGCTCAGCAATGGCTTCCTTTGGATTGCTGAGAGTCCCTGTGCAGGAATCACGCTGCCAGTGCAGCAGCTGTGCAGATAGCCAATAAGAGGGATGCCTGGAGTAAATGGAGCAGGTGGATTGAAGGACAACAATCCAACGTTCTCCATAAAACCACCGATGTGACTGTTCCTTGCTTGTGTCCTTGCCTCAGACAATTAAATCACTCAGGAAAAGCAGACATTTCTGCTGATGGCTGCATGCAGCTAACGAAAGATTTACTCACCATTTCCCCGCTGTATTCTGCAGCAAATATGAAAAGAGATGCTGTCTTGTTTCTGCATGTTCTTGTTTCTGATGTTCTTGTGCAGGCCAGACCCCAGGCAGCTTTCTCTTTGCACAGGAATTGCAGTGGTTGGAAATGAAGGTGGTTCAGCCCAGCTTTTCCTTCTCTTCAGTCCATGCAAATGTCTAGGGATTGGTTTGTTCCAAGGAGTGAAAATCTTCGTTTAAAACACCTGCTAGGAATGGTCTAGTCCTGCCTGGAGTGCAGGGGACAGGACTAGATCTCCTGAGGTCCCTCCCAGTCCTACGGTGTTATGAAAACCACAGGCTACTGACATTACTTCCTTCCCAGTCCTGGCTTGTGCCTGCAGTGTGGATGGACCAGGGCCTGTTCTCTGAAGTGCTTCTATAATCCCTTGCCCTTAAGGACACCTGGCATTGCCTGGGACTTTGAATGAATGTGAACACATGGCAGGCACCATGCTCCCAGACGGGCTGATGGCAGGCAGGCTCTTTGAAATGCAAACCCCAGACCCATACTGCCACCCGCTATCTGAGAGGAAGGTGGCCAGTTTGTAATGCTACTTCCCCTACCTGCCTATCTGGGTCAAGAATGTTGGGTCCCTCCTCTCGCTGTCTTGCCTGGGCCACATTCCATTGTTACCATCCTCTGGGCTCAAGTCATGGCATTTTCACTAGCACCTTGTGGTGCTGAGACCTGTCTGTGACTGAGGCCAGTGAGCCTCTCTGTGTGGGGGTTGGGAGGATGAGCTATCTAAATATGGAGCATTCATTAGCATTCAGGAAACAATGGCTTCTACTTTGCACAGGTCAGCATGACCTGGCCTGCAAAACTGCCACTGGGTGACTGACTGCTCCATCCAGTCTCCTGCGTGTTCAGAGGTCACCCATGTTGGGAGAAGCTGCTTTGTGTGTGAGTTGCGCAGCTCCTCAGTTGGGTTGCGTAATTGTAGAGGCACAGATCCAGCATTTGAAAGAGCACAAAGAGTCCCCACTGCAGCATCTGGCCTCCTCTCTTAAAGGGCTCAGAGTTTGGCATGGGAGCCACATGGCACTGCACCATTCTAAGGCTTCTCTTGGGGGAAACATAGGATTGCAAGGCTGCTGTAATGCACATGCCTTCGTCCCTGACTTGTGATCACTGTAGCGTCTGAGGAGGGGAAGTGTTCCTGGGAACAGTGAAGCAGCAAAGCACTGAGCCTGCTCCCTTCTCTCGGGGCTGTTTGTGTGTATTTTTTATGGAAGAGCTAAGGCCAGAACCTCATTTGCACATGCAGTGGGAAAGCCAAGGAGTGTAGATGGCATCAGATGAAAGGAAACCAGAGTAAGGGCGTTTATGTCCCAACTCCTGCCCAGAGATGGATCATTCTGGAGCTCACCTCCTCACTGGCAGGCTGGGAGCTGCCTGTGAGGTGCCAGCTCTGGTTTTTGCCTGCTGCCTACTCCTGGTTGTTTGGTCCCTTCGCTGCCTGCTCAGCCTTCTTTGTCCCGTCTCCTGCTCTGTGCTGTGCATCTTGCAGGAGGGGGCTGGCTTGTGAAGAGCTACTGCAACCATGCTCACTTCCTCATGCAGAATAACCCATGTTCGCTTTCTCTCCTTCTCTCCTTTCTGCTCTCCGAAGGCTGTTAAAAATATGGTGGGAATGGTGAGTACCACACACACCAGGGAACATTACTCCTCTGCAGAGTCGAAAGCTCTGGAAAACTTTTCAGCCCCATGTCCCTGGGGTACAATTTAATTGTCATCAAATCTTTAAACCTGGGATTTTC